TTTACAGCATTTGATTTACTTCTGGACTCTCTTTCTGGTTTTTGAACGGGTTTTTGTGACCTCTTCTGTCTGTGTATTGGAGCATTCCATATCTTCAACACTGGATTTGGTGCTCTCCTCAATTCCTTTCTTGCGCTTCGTTATTGACTTTGTTCTCAAGCCTCCATTCTCCACGAGGCTGAGGTCCAGTTTGCCGTCATCCTTGCTTCCTATAGCTCTCAGTCCTTGCAGAAGAGTGTCTCGCAAGTTCTGATAAAGAGGTTTCTCGGCATAGTCCAGTAATTTCACTGTTTCCATGTATTTAGCAATCTCATCTGGCTTGTTTCTCTCGGGAAAACATTTGTCCATCAAATCTGCAATATTTTCTCTGTATCTAATTTTGGAATCTCTAACATAGTTAGGATCTTTCAAATTATCCTCCCAAGGAAGATGGCCACTAAGCCACTGGATCATGCAATAACCAAGGATTTCCAAATCACCACGTCTTGACGGGGCAACACCATTGTGTGCATCGATGCTGGTGAATTCAATAGTGCCATCGTGACATCTTTTGGGGTCTTCTTTGTATTCTTTATGAATTCCTTCTGGGCAATACCGGTAAGCAAGGCCGTAATCTACCAAGTACACCTGGTCAGGATTCTTGTAGCTCAAAAGAAGATTTGAGGCCTTGATATCTCCGTGTACATACTCGTGCTCGTGAATATATTCCAGAATATCCAGAATTCTCAAGCTTAGCTGCAAGACAGTTTTCCGAGAAAACCTTCTGGCATTTGCTTCATATATTTTCTGAAGGTCACTCCCAAAGCGATCCATTATCATAAACCTGTAACTCTTTCCATTTTTATCATGTAGGCCAGACCCCCAATACTTAGGAACACCCAGGTACTTCAGTTTATGGGTACGAATCCACTTCTGAATTTGCTCTGGTTTGGCGGCTCGCTGGTAGAACTTGAGTTCAGTAAAGAGCGGTCCATTGTCACTGGGCTCCACTTTTACAACACAAGGTGCATCGTTGCCCACCGATTTTGAAGAATTCATATCAGCAAGATATATACAACCAAAGCCGCCCTGGCCAATGGGAGAGCCCAGCTTCCACTCTTTCTTCGTCATGTCAGTGATTACCTCCCCAGGGGCAAAGTTTTCCGCAAGTCGTCTCTTTCCAGGGCCCTGTCTTCCAGCTTGAGCGGCTTTTACACGAGGCATTTTCACCCGGGCCGGAGATGCGTCGCCTTCGGCACTGTACGAACTTCCCCCAGGTGAAAATAATTTTAATACTTCTTTAATATATCTAAAATGTTATCCCTTCAACAGGTAGTAATATAACATTTTTGAGCTATTTTACTTTTTTTTGCCCCCCATACTAAGTCCTTGAAATCTGGCACAAAGTTCACACTTGGAGCACATCTCTGCTCTCAAGTGCTCGACAGCCACAAATGGCCAGTGTTACTGGATTGAACAGTGAAGCTATAAAAGCCTTTAATTAAAAATAAA